TAGTGACTGCTGTCTTCGTGGCAAGGATCAGCGAAACAATCAGCTTTTAAGTGTGATCCAAATGCTTTTCTAATTGCAATAATTCAAGGAGACGGTGACAATGACTGCTCTTGACATTGTACAGAGCAGGCAAAACTCCCCAACGGGCTCATTACTAGTGGGTAGAGGGCTCTGAGACCTGGCAAGGTTGAAATATCCATGCAATCCTGGGGGGAGGGGCAGATAATAGGGGCGAAGCGTTGGAGCAGACTGCCTGTGAATCTCACCTGGATTCTGCCATCCACTGGGGCAGTATGCTGTCATGTATAAGCACACTGGAATCAGAATACTTGGACCTCAGCCTCTTCTCCTGGGTCCCAGCAATCTATTAAACCCCGCTGGCACTCTTCCTGTGTCTACAGACATGCCAGGGATGATGTGGGACACACAGAAGAGAACATGGGAATAAGTAGTATGTGTTCCTTTTCTAAAGAGAGTCTAGGCTATTTAGAACAAGCTCCGTAGCTGGCGGGTCTGTACTGAGCAGAATACAGTGAGGTTTTAAGCATTTGCCAAGAGACTGTGGACACTGTTGTGTACCTGTGACCTTTCCAGTCTGCAGACATGACACCCCCTTTTCAGAGCCCTGTGCGAAACTGGCCTCCCTTTGGCATCCCAGACCCACCCAGGGGAAGAAAGGTCTCACACCACCCTGCTCTCTGGTCATCCGTATACGCCTCTTCCTTAGTGACTGCCACCAGGCAGTCACTCGTGAGTGGAGAATGAGAATCTGTGCCGCGCCATGCTAGGCTGAGGCTGTTCTCAAATAGAGCATGGGGGAAGCTAAGAGCTTTAGAGTTTGGGCTGTTATTACCAGCCTCAAGATCGCACACACCTCACCTCCTCATTCTGGACTGTGGTCTCTCCATCTGCGTGTGGGGTGGGAAGGTTGCTCATATGCAGAAGTTTATTATGGGGATCACAGGATACAAACATGCAGAAATGGAGAGTCCCAGTTCTTAAGAGGCCGTTTACGAAGGCTGAATGCCTCTCATTCTCCCTGTAAGGGCATGCACCTGTGCACACATGTGTGCACACGCGTGTGCCCACACACACTGGCTCTCCTTCAGAGTCTACCTGCAAACAGCACTCCTTGGTTGTGGAGGGCCAAAGTGGGCCACTCCCATCTCTGGCAGGCCAGGAACACTGAGGACAGCAAGGCACACCTTGTCTCTTCCCGCCAAGTTCCGTAGCCTCTGCTAACTAGAACCAAGAGCCACCGGTTCCAATGAAGAAGAAAAGGGAAGTGGGTTGTGAGCCCCCACAGGGTGTAGTTTCAAGATGAAAGTTGTATTATCTGTTGTCATCACTCATGTTAAGATTTGCCAAAACCTGGCAACAGGCTTCTGGCAGAGTCGCAGGCTCTGGGATCAAAGAGGAGATGACTCTGGCCTGAGCAAGAGAACATTAGCACCGACTTGGATGAGAACCATTTTTAGTCTCTTTGCTGAAGTTTCCAGGTCTGTCTCCAGGTTCTCCTTGCCTCTCAGAAGCATGTTCCTATTCCAGTGGCCATGGGACTCAGCGGAAGGCTCAGGTCAACGCCCATTCTGACTCTGTTCCCCATCCAGAACCACATCCTGGGCTGGGCTCCTGTCTCAGGTGTTCCTGCCTCCAATGCTCACTCTAGCTCCTCCAACAATGAAGGGGTCAAGCTGCATCCTACCCTTTGACCTAGTTCACGCCTGCCCACATCTCTACAGGAAAAGGGTGAGGAACAGGTGGTGTTAGCCAGCGATAGAAAAATCACTTCACTACTCTGTCCTCAGTAGCCCACGTTCTGGGGACACGCATGTTCAGTCATTGCTCAGGGGCCTGCTTGCTGTATGCTCAAGCCATTTCAGCCTGGCCATGAACAGATGCAGGTGGTGATACTCCTAAATACTCTGTCCCAAAGCCCTCGGACTTCCCATGGCTGTAGAAACATGCCCTGCCCTGCTCCTTGCTGTTCATGTCCTCAAGATGATGCCTCTCACCTGGCTGTGATTAACCATCCTCTGATCTTACTTCTCAGCATCTTCTATGCAGATTCCTCCCCCTCCTCCTCCCTCCTCCTCCTCTTCCCCTTCTCCCCCTCCTCCCCCTCCTCCTCCCCCTTCTCCTCGCAAGCCCGCCTGCATCCCATCCTTCTCTGTGTTGGCTGCCTCCTTTAGTACATACACAGCTCTTTACGGGGATGCTGGGTTCTAGAGACCGCAGCTGTCATCTTCGACGTTCCCAGCCTACCTGCCATCCTTTCCACCCTCCCCCGAGGGACCTGCCAGTCCCCCCCCACCCCGTTACACTCATTTTCTCCCATCAAAGTCCTCTCCAGCCCTGCGTCTCTTCTGCCGAGTGCTCCAGGCACACAGGTGCCCCACACCCCCTCCTTGGAATTCTCAACGCAAAAGAATTCTAGGCTCTTTCCCGATCCCGGTCACACAAAGATCTCATCTTGAGGTCACTCGGGTGTGTCTTGGACTGCCAAGCACAGTCCATACTTTTGCAGAACTGTGCATCCAACCACAGCTTGGGGGACTTAGGCAATGAGACTCTACATAAAATCAGACACAGTCAAAACACACTTAGGATGATCCCTCTTAAGCAGCCTAGTGGTTGAACTCACTGTGGTCCATAACCCAGTGGGAACTAGGGGTGCTCCCCAGAGGGCTGCGGTGCAGTTGGATTTTGAAATCTTATGTCTGCTCTATCCCAGCAGAGATAACGCGTGGCATGGTGGGAAAGACACCATGGGTTAATGCCGTTACTGATGCTAATCAGAATCCACTTTCACCGAGTGTGGGATTACGGGCGTGGGGTCTCTTGCATCACTGACTTGTGTCTTGTGTCTTCTTTGGACTGTTTATCCCCCTCCATGAGAAGACAGAGGAACTTACAAAACAGCAGGCAGCACCGAAACCAAAACCTCAGTCTCCACGGCCAGGGCCTTCCTAGTGGTTGCTGGCCCCACCTTACCACAGAGGCAGGCAGGGACCAACGGCCACAGAGGCAGGCAGGGACCAACGGCCACAGAGGCAGGCAGGGACCAACGGCCACAGAGGCAGGCCTCCCGGTGCATAGCGGGTAGAGTGTGGAACGGTAGGTGGCTGCCCGGGATGTACCACACGTGCTTCCCTTCCCAGCTGGGAGACACGAGGTGCACAGCTTCCTGGCACCCCTAGAGTTGGGATTCATGGGCTGCTCTGAGGACGGAGCACACTGAAGTCTCCAAAGTCACAATCTCAGGATGACTCGGTCACCAGCCTGGTCCCTTTCCCTCTAAGCTCAGGCTGTTTTCCAGACTCTGCTCATCGAGGACCCAACACTTCTAAGTCCTGACAAACGTCTCGTAGGTCCTGACAAACGTCACCCCCCTGCCCCCTCCCTCGCCCAACGAGGGTAGCTTGTTGAACTGCCGATTTTCCGCCAAGAACACTCTTTCCTTCAGAAAGACTGATTGCAACAAAAAGAGAGAGGAAAGTTCTCTTAGCTATCTCACGGTTGTCAGTGAAGCCCACGCCTTTACCCACTTCCTCCCCATATCAAGAACCCCAGCTATTTATAGCAGGCAAATATATATATATATACATATATATACATATATACACATATTGCAAACATCAGAGGCCCACCCTGAAATCCTCATGTCCTCGGGCATTCCTGTAGGCAAGGCTGGGTCCCCCTGGCACCACCTCCCACCCCCACACTTTGTAGTGCAGAATGCTTGCGGGCTTCAGGGCCTCTACCACAGGAACACATCAAGCAGTTTCTCGGAGAAGATGGCCACTTGGCATTGCAGAAATAAATCGAGGGTGTAAAACCCCCACACACGGTAAGTCACCGCGGTGACTCAGTGCCTAGGTCACTGCTGGCCGGGTCCTGGCTGGCTGGCTGTGTGTTTGACCTGCACCATGAGCGTGGTGGGTTCTGTCTTGTTTATAGACGCCGGTGCTCGGGAGAGTCTGGTTTGCACCTCTTGTGGGAGGTACCAGCAGGCTGTGTTTAGTATGTGAAACACAGTAAAAGACAGAAGCCCTTCATGCTGCCTCCCGTTATCTCGGGTCTGCAGAGCAGGCTCTCTGGTCTTATCTGTAGAGCTCAGAGATGTTGGAAAACGCTCTGGTCACCAGCCTATTTATAGCTGCTGGGTTTACAGCCCTCCTCCTGCTCACCCCATGTACTTTCCTGTTCCTCCCATGAATGGGTTCCTTGCTGCTCGCCCGGCCTCGGGCTCTGGCCGCAGGTCCCTTTGAGGACCTAAAAAGTAGACATCGATATGGGATAGGTATAACACTCTCCCACCAAGAGCCTCCAGGGGTGTGTGAGAGCCTGCCTCACAGTGGCTGGACGCTTGACCATTGAACTCGGGTCCGTGATGTGTCTCTTATTAAGCTGAGCTCTTGTGTCAGGAAAATAACCACAAGGATGTAGGACTCATACCCATGCCAAGCATCCTGTAGAGGTTCATTATGAAGATCACTGAGCTGTCTGGTTGCACATCTGACCCGGTACCTGTTTCTTTATACCTCCCATACCTCTCCTGTTAGCTGGACCGATGCTGTCTTCTGTGGGTAGCATCCGTTTTCTTATTCAGTTACGTCTTAGAGTCGGGAAACCTTCCTGCTTAAGGAGCTCCCTGGAGATGGAGGTAGATGCAGCTGTGTCTTGCAGAGTTCTTTTACCAGAAGCCTTTCCAGTTCCTGTTTAGAGCCCTTTGCCTCCATACACTTCTTTACGTGCACGGGGAGATGAGACAAACTCACCCGGCACCCTCGCTGCACGGATAAGGAAACCAGGTTTCTGACACAGCGTGCTGCTACATGCCGGTCAGCCGTGACCATCCACACATGCTGGATCTCCAGGGATCCCCGGCGTCTGCATGCGGACAAGGGTACACGGCTCTGCTAAGGGCCGAGGGGCCACTGCGTAAGAAGCAGCCGAAGCCGCGCAGACCTTGAGCCCAACCCCTGCTCTCTTTCCAGGGAGGCTCCGCACTGTCCCCAGCTGCTGTCATCAGCCCAGACAGGGCCCAACAGCAAGCTGCGGCCTTGGCAAAGGAGGTTGGATGCCCTACCTCATCCATCCAGGAAGTAGTGTCCTGCCTCCGCCAGAAGCCCGCCAACATCCTCAACGATGCTCAGACCAAGGTGGGTGCTGGTGTGCATGCGGGCTGGGGAGAGACAGTCTCTTGTCTTTACCAATGGAAGGCCTAGGCCTAACAAGGAGATGTGATGATCCTTGCCACCCAAGCTACACAGCCAGTCGATGGCCAGTAAAGATCAGTTTGTCTCCTGAGTCCCAGTCCGTGTAGGAGCTGCGTGTGGGCAGCTTCCTCTGTCATTTGGACGTCTTGTGGACAAAGTGGGAACTATGTTGGAGACCTGGGAGCTGAGAGATGAAATGAGCTAGCACACTCCATGCGAGGATCACGGAGGCACAATGTCAGGTCACAGTGCCTTAGACACACAGCTGGGCATCCCTTTCTACCTGCAATGACCTTACTCTTACTCTGGCTGCCCCTGACATCCATAAGGGAGACACGGACAGGCTTTCTCCTCATAAGTGGGAGTCTGCACCCTGAGACCTGGACCAAGATCTGTCCTCAGCCTCGCCTATGTGGGCTATGCTGGCTAGTGTCACCCTTTAGAGCCAATGACTTCTTTAAGGCCTTCCTCCTTCTCCCTGCTCCTCCTCTTGTTACTTCAGGAGAGGGGCTCTGTGAGGGGGTCCTGGGGGCCCAGCATTGCTGAGGGGGATTTGCTGCCTGGCAACTGGCATTTGTCACAGGATCCTGCTTGCCTGTTACCCTCTCCATGCTACCCTTGCTTTCCACTAGAGCTCGCCAGACTCGGAGCATGGGCACTCACGGTTAAGATCCCGCCAGGAAAGCAACCTAATGGTTATATAATAGATGGACACTGTGAGGCAGAATCCCGGGGCTCTGGAGGTAGAGGAGGGCGTGGCTCCATATTGCGGCGTTCCCTTCATAGAGACCTTTTGTGGTCCCTGTCCCCGTTCAGAACCATTATCTCTTTGCTGCAATCCTCAGCTCCGGCTGCACAGCCAAGACGGGGTTGTCCCTTTTTTTTCTAGAAAGGAAAGGAAATGCATGCAAGTAAAGGCCTTTCCTCTTCTCCCTGCAGCTCTTGGCTGTCAGTGGCCCATTCCACTACTGGGGCCCTGTAGTTGACGGCCAGTACCTGCGCGAGGTTCCAGCCCAAGCGTTGAAGAGGTCCCTGCCAGCAAAGGTGGATCTGCTCATAGGGGGTTCTCAGGACGATGGGGTCATCAACAGGGCCAAGGCTGTGAAGGTAGGTGAAGGGACACAGCTCTGCTGGCTCAGTAGGTCAAGAACTCCTGGCTGGCTGACTTCTCTGACTGACACAGGGCTGTTAGCCAAGACTACAGAAGCCTGGAGGTAATCATAGCAGAAGCTGGCTTCAGAGCTAAGACATTACAAGAGGCGACCTGCACAGATAGGCCCACAAATGGAGCTGTGAGTCAATTACCGTGAAGAGCTTAGAGTAGAAGCTGAAGGGGTGTTCCCAGCCTCAGGGGGTTCCTCGCCAGGAGCAAAACTGCTCCTGTCCCACAGTGTGTGCACAAGGACATTTGTCACGGCGTTAATTATTGTAGCGTGCGTGCACACACACACACAGAGAGGGGGGAAGAAATCCAGATGTCCCTTGACAGGGAAATGGTTGGCTAAATTAAGATACTCTCTGACTGCTAAATATTATGCAGCTGTTAAAAGCACGAGCCTGGTCTCCCTGCTGTCTTGAGGGAGGCGCTGGCGGGCTGCTAAGCACAAAACAAAGATAAAGAGAGACACGAAGCTGAGTTGGCCCTCATGTTTAAGGAGCAAGTATATGCATGTATGTCATTGTACATATTTGTATATTTCCACATGAAAGGCCCATGGTGTGGACGGATAAAACCGAGCTGTTAACACTGACTGCCTCCGGAAGTGCAAGCCGGAATGGCTCTCTCTCTGTTGCTGCTCTCTTGACATGAGTTACATGGAGTGTAACCTTGTCCCTGCAATATCACACACAGTTGCCTTGTGAGAGAGGACACGTGATCCTTAGGCAGGAGACCCTGTCCTCAGGACGCCGGCTCCGGAAACACGTGCTGAGCACTCCTCCCATCTCTCTGTCACGAAAGAGAGGAGGGCGACTTTCAGAGTCTCAGCTTAGAGTTCATCTAAGACAGAGAGCATGGGGGAGGGGGCCACCCTGCCAGATCCTTCCTACACCACCTCCAGGCAGTAGAAGCTCCCCCAACTGGTGATGGAAGTAGCATCCTGCTAGCAGATTTGGGCTGTGGAGGGTCAGCGCATAGCCCAGGTCATCATTCTCGGCTGCACTGGACAATCGTAAGACGGCTGTGTGGCCTTGGGCTCGTCCTCCCTAGCACTGTCCCAGTGGTGTTTGGGGAACTGTTACTGCTGACAGACTACAGGACCAGAATCCTTCCTCAATGTTGTATTTCGGTTCTCCTTGAGTTACCCAAGGTGTTCCGGGCAAAGTTCCCTTTGTTCACTCATAAAAGAACTCGGTGGCATACGGCAGGAGGCTCACTGCTAAACCAGCTCTGCTGGGAAGGTATGCCCCTGGGGTGGTCAGAACAGGCAAGCCAGAGCTCACACACTCACACGCACTTACACACACACTCACACACTTACACACACTCACACAACACACTCACTCACACTCACACACTCACACACTTACACACACTCACACACACTCATACATTCACTCACACACTCACACACCTCACACACATTCACACTCACACACACTCACACACACTCACTCACACACACTCACACACATTCACACTCACACACTCACACACACATTCACATTCACACACACTCTCACACACATTCACTCACACACATTCACTCACATACACACTCACACACACATTCACATTCACACACACTCACACACATTCACACTCACACACACTCACACACATTCACATTCACACACTCACACACACTTACACACACATTCACACTCACACACACTTACACACACATTCACACTCACACGCTCACTCACATACACATGCATACACTCACTCACACACTCACTCACACACTCACTCACACACTCACACACACACACTCACACACATTCACTCACATACACACTCACACACTCACTCACACACTCTCACATACACTCACACACACTCATGCGCACACACACACGTCCATCCTTCTCCAGCCGCACCCCACAGGGAACTAGCCTTGGCACACTGCTCATTGGTCACCCATTTCTGTCTCACTGAGCGCTTGTGTAGTCTCAGGACCCTGTGCCTGGTGAGCACACCTGCCTAGAGCTGGGGCTGTCAGAAGCAGCTGTAGAAGGGAAGCCAGAGCTCAACTGTCTCTATACCAATCCTTCATGAGTGGGGCGTGCATAGCTCCAGCCGAGCTGTCCACTCAGCAACCGCTTGACCCCAGACTGCTGCCAGAGCCAAGAGACCGCTGACCATCCCCACTTAGATGTCTACAGCTGCTCGTCTTTACCTCACAGTGCTGCTGGGGCCACCTCTGTCCCCCTCAGACTCACACACCCACCAGGTCCTCCCAGTGCAGCCCGGCTCTCAGGCTTCCCAACAGGAGATTCGCCTCACTTTCTCTCAGTCCACAAGCCAGTTCACCCAGAGCCAGCCAAGCCCCTCCCTGGCAGTCGGGGCTGACTCCTGACCGTGCCCCGGAAACTTGTTTGATGGACTCTAAATTCACCGCTTGCCATGCCCTCCCCGTCACCTTGCGTGGCCAGAGCAGTTCCATGTCTTCAGTGTTCCTTAGCTGTGCTTAGGTGTGAGACATATGCTGTCCCCTCTCCCAGAATGTCCCCAGGCTCCATGGGCCTCATTTCGTCCGGGGTCCCTCCTGAGACCCTACACCCAGGAAGTCACTACATCTAGCCATGCAGGGTACACAGCACGGGTATCTAACAGCAGCGTCTCTTTGCTGAGCCACTCAAAGTGGACCAATCTCTCACACTGTGCCAGACGCAGGCCTGTTATGATGGACGTCCAACTGTATCCTGCCCTCTAAGAGGTAATGGTCAGGTCAGAACATAGAGATCAACATGGCAACCATCAGGGAATGGCTATATACATGCTGTAGAGAGGTGGGCATCATGTCCCTGGAGAGGGTGCGGTCCGTTGCCCGTAGTGACACTGCCAGCTGAGTGACAAATGGGAAAAGTCTGACCAGACTCCCTCCCTGAGCCTTCTGTCACCACAACAGGGGGAAAGTCCTAGTTCTGTTTTGTCTGTAGTCAGGAGCACTTACATTTCCCCAGGACCTGAGACTTAATTTCCTTATCTGCAAATTGGGAGATCATTCACAGAGACCCTGTGGAATATCCCCAGAGGACTCAAACAAACCCCACTGTCCAGAAAACAGTTGTACCTGGATAAATGATACATTATTTTTATGCTTAACTCTTTAATAAAACAGTTAATGGCACTGGTCCCAAGAAGAAATTGCAAAAGACTTACAGTCACTGAACCATCTGACCTTAGGCGAGTTTTTCAAATCACAGCAGAGGTACATGTACTTGCTAAAACAGGCACACACACTTTCTTCTCATAGCAGCCTACAGAAATGCCAGCTGGAGCCCAGCCCACAAACACACACAGTTCAGGGAGGGGTAGGGGCCTCCTAGCCCTCTTTCATCCCTTAGGGACAGCCACCCTATTAGCAGAGACAACCAAATACCCTGAGACCAAAGAGGGTGAGTAGGTAGGGCTTCACCAAATCCCAAAGACACTCACCCCTGCCACCCAGGCCACTATGGTCCACCCAGGGAGTCCTCATGACACCCAGAGACATACCTGCCCAGCATGGGGACCACATAGATCCCTGGGAAGATGGAAAGCCTCCGTTTGCTCCAGATGATCCTATTTCCAAAGTGGAAGCGTTCTATTGAAATTCTTCATTGGTCTCTGAAATGGGGAATCATCCCCCTTCCTCCTCCTCCTCCTGACTGCTGAAGTTGACAGTCTGTCTGCATTAACCAAGACTGCATTTGCATTAGCAAAAGCAGACTGGTTCCAAGATGCACGGTTCTGCTTCCCCTCCAAGCATCTCCAAGGAAGGCAAGAAAAATCCGAAGCGTAGTGTAGCCGACGTGCCCTGGGCTTGGCTGGGAGTTGGCCTCATTCAGGAGCAGGTGCAGTGGGGCCTGTGAAGGGGGGGCTGTCTGAGAGTTGGAAAGCTGCACCTGGCAGCCAAGTCGCTGGCATGAGCCCCAGTGCAGCAGTACCGAATCCTTGGTGGCAGCTCATAGTAATAGACGGATGTAGGAATCCTCCGTGTGTGTACGTGAGACAGAGATTTCTTGGAAAGAGGTGCCACCACCCCAAATCCTCACGCTAGGTCTGGACCTAGGAAGATGCGGGATGTAAATGAGGATAATGGGCCATGATTCCTGATTTTGGCCACGTGGTTTAGGCGAGTTGTTTAGCCAGTCGGAGCTGTGAATATTGTAGCTTCCAAGTCGCAAAGTGAGCCCTGTCTGCCTTCCACATATCTAAGGAAGGAATCAGCTATCACAAGAGACGGACTCTGTGGGGCTCCAGGAATGCCCAACTAACAATCTGTGACCCTTCCATCCCAGACCCTCAGAGCCTGACACCCCGTGTCTCCTCATCTAATGCTTTAGAGGCTCTCCCTGAATTAAGACATGCAGACTCAGCCCCCAAACAGACGCTATTTTATGATTGTTAGTATAAATACGGGTGCCAAACAAGCCAGAGCTGTTATTGTACTGTCATCACAGCGTCACCTTCATATTTCCTCTTATAATTTCAAAAGAATCTAAGAGGAGAATATTCTGTGGGTCTCTAAACGCGTGATAGACACTTGGCACTGACCCTGCTACATCCGGTTGATAGAAGGTTGGCCGTTGGCTCTCAGATCTCTAGTAAGGTAAGTAGTGAACGATGTTGCACGAGTGGCTTGTGCAAGCAGCCCCAGAGTTTCATTACAGTCTCTGTGTCCCAGGGTCTTCTGGGATTTGAGAGAAAGTCCTGAGAACTCAGACAGAGCCCTGCCTGGCAGAGTTCACAGGATTAAGAAGCAATGATGTGTAAGCACTAAGGGTTTCAGGTCTGGAGAAAACAGAGCCAGGGGCTGTGAAGGGAATAGTAGAAATGGGTATACACTTTAGGGATGGCCAGGGACAGCCTACCAGAGGTGTCTAGGTGTCTTTGGCTTGAGACCTGCATGGGAGAGGAGGTGAAGTCATTCTGCCAAGACCTCTCAAAGGCAGCTTGAGACTCGGGCCCTCGCATTGATTCCCAAGTCAGTGTTCTTGTCACCACTCTGGGCCATGTATCCACGGGTCAACCTCCTTCCATGCTAAGTGGTCCTGTGTTTGCAGTGCAACCCTGGGCCATGGTTAAGTTAGAGCAGAGAAGGATTGGCTGCCCCCGTCTTAAGGCCTGAGCTAAATACCAGTTCATGCTAGCCCTCTGTATGATGGCCCTAAGGAAGTACAGATTTCCCTTGATCTGGAAGCTGTGTGTGCCAGAGATGTTTATGTACAAGCCGTGCCTAGCAGATAGTGACGCATTGCAGATTCCTTTCTAAAAACATATGTTAAGACTAAAGAAACATTGCCCTTTTGCATGCTAGCCCCCATGGTCCTCCTCACTGTCTCCTGGGGCTAGTGTTGTATGACTGGCGCATGTCTTTGATCAGGCATGCTTCAGGAGGGAAGGCTAGACTCCTGTCCTACAGGAGTTAGCTCACTGATACATGGCTCCTGTGTTCTGATGCTGGATCAATCCCTGCATTTAGAGGGGTTTATAGAGTAGCATAAACACACCAGGGCCTGCCAACATGGTATGCAGAAGCTCCTGGAAACACGTAGACATGTACGCATCCTGAACCTGCCCAGGGTTCAGGCATCTGGGCCTCACTCTCAGACCTGCATCCATCCAGAAGAGACTTGCATCCTCTGCCCTTCTTCTCCAGAAAGAAGGAAACTGAGGCCAGAAGGTAGGAGCTGAGTTGTTCCTCCCCACAGTGTAGCCAACTGCCAGGCAAGGGTAGGGCAGGGAGGCTGAGAGGGGAGGAGTGATGTCTGCTCCTGAGCAGTTGGGCAGCCCCTCAGGCCAGCAGTGCAGCTCCTTTGACTGTCTTTCCTTAAGCAGACCTGGCCCAGCCTCTGCCCACACCCTTGCCCTTGCTAAGGCTGCCCTGGGAGGCTCTGCACATCCATGACGGGTCCTTGTCTCCACCCACTGGAACATAGCCTAGCAGACAGGGAGTGTGACCTTATGATCCCAGGCCAGGCAGAGTTGGCCCAGGGGAAGAGTGAGTTCTTATGGCAACAGGCAACACTATCTGTTCATGCTTTGAATGACCAGGGCGGTACACGGGATGGGATGAAATGTCTCACATCAGACCACAGCTTACGCACGAGTCTGCTAAGCCTCGCCAGATAAAACCAGAAAGAGGCGGGCACGTGGCCCAGCAGCAGGCAGCCATCAGGATTAGGATGGGCCGCTCTAAGCGGGATCTGTTTCACGTCCTTCTCCTGACCCTAGGGGAAGGCACTTCTGCTTCAGATGGGCAAAGGAAGGGACAGAGGGTCACAGCCACCTCTTTAAGGCCACACGGTAAGATTTATCAGTGGAACAGCTACAAGTGCTTGGTGCTCTCGGAGAGAAAATTCTAGAATAACGTTTGAAGGACACAATGTGTGCCTTTCGGGATGCGATTGGGAAATCCTGTCTTTTTCTTTCCTTCTCCCCTCCCGCCTTTCAAAGCAATTTGAGGAGAGCCAAGGCCGAACCAACAGCAAGACAGCCTTTTACCAGGCACTGCAGAATTCACTAGGCGGCGAGGACTCAGATGTCCGCGTCCTCACGGCCGCTGTATGGTATTACTCCCTGGAACACTCCACAGACGACTACGCCTCCTTCTCCCGGGCACTGGAGAATGCCACCCGGTAAGCCAGGCCCACCAAGCGAGTCAGGACCTCTCAGTATGTCAGTTCATGCAGGGTACAGTTCCTCTGCCTAGTATGGATGAGGGCTCAGGGGCTTCTCGGATCTTTTGTTTGTTTGTTTGTTTTTTTGTTTCTACGAGACAGGGTTTCTCTGTATTGTTTTGGAGGCTGTCGGTCCAGCCCAGCCTCGAACTCACAGAGATCCGCCTGCCTCTGCCTCCCGAGTGCTGGGATTAAAGGCGTGCGCCACCACCGCCCGGCTTCTTGGATCTTGATGGAGACAATGAGAGTCTGGGACTCGATGCCCCAGGCATCCTCCTCGGCACAGTTCTCTCAATCCACCTTGAAACAGCTACCCCCGCTGGGCCCTCAGATCACGCGGGAGGGTGACACAAGGCTCAGAGGTGCAGACATGACCATAGCTCTGCAGGCAGCTCTACGTGTGTCCAGAGTCGAGCAGAATGAGCCCGGGCTTCTCAATGCCCACGCGACTCCTTTCCTTGGGCAGCCGCTGCCCACTGCCCACTCATCACTCAGGCTTCCTTCTTGAGAAGCATGCCTTGTTCCCACCCCCAAGAAAGCTAAAGACTGCCCCCAGTCTCCGCCGTCCCTAGCGTTCCACTGCCAGAGCACTGGATGGGGAGGGCTGCGCCACGCTGTCGCCCTCCCCATTTATCATTAATTCACTGAAGCCAAACACAGCTTTCTTTTTATAATACAGTGCTCATGTGTGTATGCAGGTCCATGTGTGGGTGAAGGTGTACACACGTGGAGGCCAGAGGACAGTGCTGAGTGCCAGCCACCTCACTGGTCTAGAGCTCACCAGTTAGGTCAGACAGAGTGGCCGGTGAGCCCTAGGGATCCTGCTGCCTCTGTCTCCCTGGAGCTGGAATTACAGTAACATCACCAGGCCTGGCATTTTTACATAGATCTAGGGATCAAACTCGACTACTCATGCTTGTGAGAGAAGCTCAGTACTGACTGATTTCACCAAACATTGCTCTTTGAGCAAGTATGTGAGCTAGTTTGTGAATCAAGGGGCAAATAGACTGTAGCCCTCTCTGCTCAGAGGCCCTGGCCATGTAGCCCCCAGCTCTCCAATTACCTTGAAGGTTGCTTGGCCAGCATAGTGATCTGTATTCTGGTTTCCCCCATAGGATCCCTCCAGGGGAAAGCTGGGCCCGGTGGCATCAGCACCCCAAACCTGCTCTCCCTCCAGAAGGAGCACAGTTGTCTTTGCTCTATGCCGTGGGGACAAGGCCAGGGTCAAAGCTCTCAGTGACCTTAGCTGTCAGGAAGAATGGGCTGGAGATCCGGTGTGGCCTCTCCCCCCTTGAAACCATGGTTCTACTCCAACAGTCTGCAGCAATACAACTGTGGGACATCTCCTTGGACTCTGGAGCCTAGAAAGCCTTTACAGGCCTCCTGATGAAGAGCTCCACTATGAACCAAGAAACCCTCCAGTAGCTTTGGAGACAGACCTAGATGGACCACAAGAACCCACAGACAGACACACAGCCCCTCCCTCTGAGTGGCTTCACAACGGACTCAGGCTCCCCTAGATCTCGGTAGCAGATGAGCTTGGGCAAACTCAGGTTCTTACTTCAAGGTCATTATCTGGCCTTAAAGGCAGCATATTTCCAGGAAAAGAGCCGAGATCTAGGAAAGCTGGGGGGGGGGTGGCTCCAGCCCCCACAGCTCAGGGCCTCATTTCTGCCTGGACAACTGAGGCTGCTAACTCCCTCAGCCTCTATGTCTCCAGTCTCCTGGAAGCCCCTCCCTGGGGCGGCAGCCATGAGCCTTTATCTTGAAGGAGCAGTTCCATCCTGTGCTGTTCACCGGTGAAACCCAGCTGCCCACACCACCCTCTGAGACAGACCCCTTCCCTAGCCCCGCCAGCCCCACCCTGGAGCCCCACCTGTGGCATTTCAGCTTTTCCAACAATCGAGAACCATTACCAACCCCATGACCAGGAGAAGGGGGACAGCCCACTGATTAGATGGGATTCCAGAGTCTCTGTAGGACAGGGTCCCGGGCCAAACTTCTCAGCTAGAAGACCAAAGAGGACCAAGAACTACTGGGCCTCACCTTACCAACAGTGTAGTAGGAACCCAAAGCCCCAAAGCCCAGGCCAACATGATCTATCCAATCCCGGGTCTGACCAGTTCTTGAGGCGCACGGCCTGCTTGGCCATACATACAGAGCCCATGGCTCCAAGCAGAGCGTCTTAAGTTAATTCACGTTCAACGGAATGAGGAACCAATGTGAGTCTGTGGACTGCCATCCTCTGACCATTTGGACTGAATGAGGCTTTGCTTGGAGCCTTTGTGAGCAGAAGCCTGGAGAAAATTTTCTAATCCCTGTTACAACAACTGAAACTGTCTCATGACCTTGCTGAGAGTTGCCTGGGGTTTGAGGTTGGGCAAATTCAGTCCCCAAAGACCTAGAAATAAGGGTATCTTATTCGTGCAGGATGTTTGAGCACTCTGCCTTCTCTCCAGGGGTACACTTATTTACGGTGCACTCCGGGCTTCCTAGAACACTTTGCTGGCAAATCTTTACTCGATGTTGATGCTCTGGGAAGTGGTTCAGGCCAGCAGGGGCCTCTTGCTCGACGTGGGAAACCCATCACCACGGCCTCCTTTCAGACTGCAGCCTGCCGTAAACCAGAGCCGTGTACCCACCAGTGTGGCCACCGGAAAGCACCCCTGTGGGGCTGGGCAAGGGGATCTTTGGGGGGTCGGGCTTGCCGGGCAAGGCCTGCCTATAGGACACACTCGCCTGACACAGCACTCCCCCAGAGCCACGTAAGTGATCTCCCTCCTCTGTCATTTCCCCCAGGGACTACTTCATCATCTGTCCCATGATCAACATGGCCAGCCTCTGGGCAAGCAGAAGCCGTGGAAACGTCTTCATGTACCACGTGCCGGAAAGCTATGGGCATGGCAGGTAAGGCCATATAGCAAATGCAGGCAGAGGAGGCCAGCTGTCCTTGTCACCACTGTGAAACACAAAGAGAAAGAAGGCGGGGTGTGGCACAAGCCACGCCCCTGTGATATGGGACAGGGCTTGACCACATATGCCCTGGTTCCATCAGCTGCAAATGAGGTAGCAATGCATACTTTATCCCTTAGTGCTTCTTCCTGGGAGAGTGAAGCCCAAGAACATGAAAATCCGTCCACCACGGGGAACTTGGAGCTCTGACTTCAGTCACTCTGTCTTCCGGCATGAAGACAGCCTTTTCCCTTGCTAGTATCCTACATGTCTCTGCTTCTAAGAACCGAGTACTTCAGAAATGGCTTTCCATAGTGGCAAACGTTTTTTTTTATTTATTCATTCGCTTTTCTGTTTATTTGGTTTCATGGTTTCTTACTCTGTAGCTCAGGCTGGCCTAGAACTCACTATATAGTCCAGGTTGGCCATGGACTCTCATCGTTACCCCTGCTTCAGCCTTTCAGGCACTGGAATAGGAGGCATGAGCGGCCAAGTCCAGATGAACGGTTTCTGTTTCCCCAGCTTCTCTGTCATCCCTACTTCCAGAAGAGGTCCAAGCACCTGGTGATAAAATCCCGGGGCGCAACAAAAAAGGAGAGAGACAAGAGAGGCGCGAGTAGGGGGTGATGGGGGACAGGCATGAAAGGATTTAGAGGGAGGCTGTGTGGCCGGGATCTGCTTCAACCCTCCCTACATGTGGGAGAGCCCATTCCGGCGGAAACAGATGCCCACATTAAGAGACAACTGAATGGCGACTTCACGCAGCAGCCCTTGGGTAAGACCTTGACAGGGGCAGCATCCTGATCTCAGACTTAGAGTCATTGGAGGATGTGGTCCGTAGGCTTGTGGTCTTGTAGCTGTAGTGTCCACCCGGGTGACTCAGTTGTCACAGTGCTCCGTGGAAACACACGGAGTACCTGTGAGGGTGGCAGTTGTCCCTGCTTTGCAGGCAGAGGGCATCTGGATCCGATCAGGCTACTCCAGTAATGCACCTTACACACAGCCCTGTTATCGCTTACAGTTGTGGAGGCTGAAGTCTAGACTGAAGATGTAGCAGATGCAGCATCTTGGGGTGTCTGTAGAGGGCGAGCCCCTGCCTCACCAGGAGGCACCTCTCTAAGGGAAGGTGAAAGCTTGCTTGGGGCCTTGTCGATGCTATTCATATCAACCTTGTGAATTAGTGTCCCCCCCAACAAGGCTCAACTCTTAGGACCAACAAACGGAGGAGGATTAGTCTTCCACGTAGGAGTCTTGGGGATCACAGATGCTTGCCCTGCACCAGGGAGTCTGGTGTTCAAGGAGTTTAATGTGTTCTCTACTCCCAAGATGAGCAGCTGGGTCACTGCAGAGCAATGGCTGTCTCTGCCCCTCCCAGCCTAGAGATCTGCCTTCACTAGACCACATGGTCTGTATGCTTAGAGCTATTTATAGTTTCCACCACACTCACCGCTACAGCCAGGGTCTTAGGGTTGAGGGTAGGAGGCTCAGTAGCCCGCTGTAGCTCTCATGGGAGCACTCGGAAGGGATGTTACTGGAGCTCAGGACTGTGGGCACAGCAGATGGAGCCTGCAGCCCAGTGGTCCGTAGCCACTGAGACCTGGAAACCTATCCCAGAACACGTGCCTAGGATCATCCTTGGCCGTGCCTTGCAGTGCCGGGGTCTGGATTCCTGCCACTCATGACTCTGTAACCCGTATTTGCCGCCTTCTAGTGAGGTGAAGAGGCTGCAGGAAGGTGTGGGCTCCCCACAGCAAGGCTGTGTCCTCAGGAGCCTTAAGGAACCTGTATCTTTTGTCCCAAATAGTTACAGGAGGGGGGAGAGAGAGAAGAGAGGAGAAGAGAGAGAGAGAGAGAGAGAGAGAGAGAGAGAGAGAGAGAGAGAGAGAGAGAGAGAGAGAGAGAGAGAGAGAGAGAGAGAGAGATCCAAGCATGATAACAAAAGCAGAGGAAAACACCAGCATGCATAGGTTCAGTTCCGGCAGCCAGGAGGGCGTGAACCCTGCTTTGGTTTCAGAGGCTCCCCTAGGGAGGGGCCGCAGGCTTTGTGGTCTTGGAGCAGCAGAAATATATTGCCTCGTGTTTGGGAGGGCTGTGAAGTACAGATGCCAGCAGGGCTGGAATCCTCCACAGGTCCTGGAAAGGGTGTGCCAGGGACCTCTGGCCTCTGGCTGCCTCAGGCGTTGCTTCCCAGCAGGGGCCAGCCTTCCTGTTCCCTGTCCCCTTCATCTCTTGTGTGTGTCCTGGGTCCCAATCCCCAATTCTTGCAGTGGCATCGGTCCCGCTGGGTCAGGGTATGCCCTAACAACCTCTGATTAACCCAGTCTAAGGAGAGACTATCCCCAGGCACGCTCCCAGTCTAAGGCCCTGAGGTGAGGACTCCAACCTCTCTTTTAGAGGGGACTCAGCCTCCTGTAGATCACAGAGCCCTGCACCGGAAGCTTCTGGTGTCAAGGACCTGAAGTGAACAGCCCTTCGGGGAAGGACTCAACGGCAAGCAACAGCACCCTCAGTGTAGCAGGCTGGCCAGGGCTTCTCCCTGCCTGCCCCTCTGAGGACTTCCAGACTGGGCCCTTATGACGACCCTGGGAGCCTCCATGGAACAACCTCAGGCTGTCTCAGATTCTGAAGGGTCCTCATGGCTCTCAACTCCTCAGCCTGGGGATCCATGTTTAAGGGAGGACTTGACAGGTGCTCACAAGACTGTGAAGGGTTGAAGCCAAAAGCCAAACCCTCTCTCACGGCAGGAGAGACAGGCCTGCATTTCTGGTCTGTGGCTCCCTGGGGGCTGGTGCTATGGTTTGAAGTAAGCAGGTGGTGAGCCTTGAGGACAGTCTTCCCTGAGAGCCATGGAACGGGGGTCAAGGAGGAGGTGGGCTCTCTCGAATTGGCCCTAGCTGTCCATGTGCTCAAGGCTGCCCCCTCACTTCCAGAGGAAGGACACCAAGACATATGAAGCGTGTCTAGGTGCCACAGAAACTTAGCATCCTGGAGCAGTCAGGGACTCCAGCATCCTCTGCTTCCAGTTAGCAGTGCGCCCCTGACTCTTATCAGCTCCTGACCTGAGGCAGGTCACCTGGTCTTCTTGGTGACTCGGTTTCTTCATGTGAGTAAGGAACACGGAAGTAGGATCTCTCTCGGGGCCACTCAGTATTGATTTGTGTGTAGACCAGACCAGGGCCTGGGTGACTTCAGACCACAGGGCTCTCACCGTACTTGGCCATCAGAACACGATCTGGTCAACCTCCCCTGTCATGATCAACCTCCCCTGTCATGATCAACCTCCCCTGTCATGATCAACCTCCCCTGTCATGATCAACCTCCCCTGTCATGATCAACCTCCCCTGTCATGATCAACCTCCCCTGTCATGATACTCACAATGAGCAGCCATTGACATCGTAGACACCGCAGTTACTGAGCAGATCAACAAAAGAACTTGAGATTTCTGGCAAGTTCTTGCTGCTCCAAAACTGCTCTCTTCCCCACAACTTCCTTCTTCCTCTTTCTACCCCTTCCCCTCCCCATCTCTTTCTAGCTTCTCCCCTCCCTCTCCCTTTCTCTCTCTCTCTCTGCCCTGGAACTGTCTCTTCTCTCATTTTATTTCTGGCTCTGATCTACACACTTTAAGTATGTGTATGCATGTGTGTATATATGTGTGTGTGCACGCGTGTGTGTGTGTGTGTGTACGTGAATGTGTGTGCGTGTGCGTGCATGCATGTGTGTGCATATGCGTGTATGTGTGTGCATGTGTGTGCGTGTGTGTGCATGTGTGTGTGCGCGTGTGCGCGCGCGTGTGCATGCATGTGTGTGTGCATACATGTGTGCACGTGTGTGTGTGTGTGTGTGTGTGCATGTGTGCATGTGTGTGTGTAGGTACATTCTCCACCACCGTCTGTCCCGTGCCTGCCTGTTGGCACACGGCAGCTTTCCCGGCAAGTGCCAGTGAGCAGGCTCCATGCCTCCCCTTCCTTACTGAGCACTGCTCAGATGTCACCAGCCATCAGTGTGGCGCTCCTGTGACCACATCACTGACACACTGTCCTGCCTGCCGAGGGTGGGAGAGTAGCGATGCTAGGACGGAGAATCCAAAGCCTGCACGGAGTGAGAGGAGTGCCTGAGATCGGGGTCAAAGGTCAGGGACATCTCTTAGACCTTCGTTTTACCAACGCAGAAGCCAAAACCCACTCACAGGAGCGGCTGCTGTCTGGCCTCTCTCCTGTCTCCTGCAGCCCCCGCTGCTCTCTTATGGTTGCTCCCATTTCAGCCAAAACTAGACTGCTTAAGCCCATGGTAAGCTGTGCAACCCCGGGCAACTCACTTAGCGTCTCTGGGCCTCCTGGAAACACCTGGGAGAAGAACTCCTGTCCCACAGAGCTGCTGAGAAGGGGGGATGGAGTCAGGACCTACAGCAAATTTGTTCTGCAGCTTGCATGTGTTCTGGGGAGGGGCATGCCCATGTACATATCGAGCAGACTTGGAATGGCAAGGCTGTAGATGGGAGGGAATTCACCATGGCTTCCACTCTCTCCCCCTTATTGGCTGTTCCATATAAGCAAGTCCCCCTGCCTCAATGTTCTTGCCTGTGAAATGGGAGCTGTTTCTTTCATTTCGTCTGTGGGATATGAGGATTAAGATAATACATATTCAATATCCAGCACCCCACAGACCTTCAGTGTTTGTGATTAGAATTGGATTATTTTAAGGAATTAATAAAACTCTGCTAAGCAAAATGTAAGTAAAAATGACTATGAAGGCAGTCACGTTCCCCCTTAAATGTTACCCAGCTGTGAGAAACAGAACTGTAAATCTTAGCCTTGAGATGTTTTGAACACCACTTGTCTGCATTCTAGATATGTCTGTGCATTCCAGGGTCCCTGCCCAGTCCAGATTCAAAATGCTGTCTCTTCAGCGTGTTATCTGGGTGACTTTGCAGAAACTGGCAGGCCAAAGAAAACAGTATAGGGCTGGATTCTTGGACGGGGTCCACGGGCCCAGCCACATCCTGTGTGATCCTTAAGCTATCATCTCCCGGGGCGGATGAGCTCAAGCCAGTCAGTCAGTCACTGGCCACCACTCCGTGAGGCAGTCTGTCCCCTCTCCAGTCCCCTTCCACACTGACACACTCATGCCTGCCTGACACGGGACAAACAACGGAGAGCACGCCCATCACCCTGTGCAGGAACTCAGGAAACTCAGTAGTGCCAGGAGAGAGGAGCCCTAAGGTGCTGGGACTGTGAAAACGCAACGTTCGACCCTCAAACCTGAAGGACAGGGAATGGTGGCAGTCTCAGAGTGAGCAGTGAGCTAACGGTCCCCCACAAAACGGTTGCCTGGTGTTAGGGCCCTGAGGTAGGAAAGGCCTACATTCTACAGGTAACCGAGGCTGGGCACCTGGGCTCTGCCGAAGGTCAGGAGACTGGCTGCAGGTGTGAGGAAAACGGAGAGGCCTTGTCATTTTCCTAGGCGTTTACCAGAGTGTGAGAAGAATGCCATTGAACCCGGTGTTTTTATCTTCAAAGACACGTCATTTACCACGCACAGTGATCTTTTCACGCACTCACACCCGAAAACGTGGCTCACAGAAACACTGCAGCTCTTTGGTGGTTGCTCTTGAGATGTAAAATAAAAGCCCGCTGTCCAATATGCTGGTCAGGGGCTCAGAAACGCCCACGCTGGGAGAGCTTGTGAGAAGCGACCAGTCGGGGCACAGATCCGAGGCGTGGATTTTTCGGGAACCTGTACAGGTGTTCATTCCCTTCCTGATCCGTTTCAAAGTTAGAGACCTAGGTAGGAAGATGTTGCTTTCAGATCCCCTTCCGGATTTCCTGCAAAACCATAAGCTTAATGTGTGTTCCACAGTTTGATTGCTAGGCTGGGTCTCTTGAAAGTGGAATGTCTGCATGCGAGACGATGCATTTAATGACCCCTGACGGAAGCTCTCAGAAGCTCTGGGCAGACACCTAGCCTGAATGCCAAGAGAGTGTGCAGCCTGAAAAGTCTTCCTTTGTTTGTCTTGGTGGCTCTTTATGGGAAGAGTCAGGTTTAGTCCAGTTTAGTCCAGCCAGTCAGAGAAGCTGTGAGTGTCCCACACAACAGTGTACCATCAGCTCTGCTGGGCTCCAGGGAGGTCAGAAACACCGCTGCACTCTGGGTAATTCCTGAGATGGAGATGGGCACAGGTGGGTCTGGAGTGTGAGAAGTACCTGGGGAGCTCACCTTTAAAAGGTTGCGCAGGAACACATGTGGTCTGTGAGGCCCAACATGATCTCGTGACCCCTTCAGGATCAGAGTTGCCCCAAGAGAGACATGGGCCTGGTGCTCACACCCAGTCTGTGGTGTCGCAAAAGGAAGCCAGGAGGCCATGGAAGGGAGACTGCCCCTCCTCCCTTTCCCGACTTCCTTCAGAGGAAGGACTGTAGGGCTGGCATATGCTTTGCGGGGGCTGGGTCAACATCCTTCCTCTCACAGTGAGAACTTCAGGATCCCTGTGGTTACAGACTCATCCCCAGACCTGTCACGTGGGGAGGGTGCAGTGGTTCTTTTCCAGTATTGCCTCTTACCCAGTCATCGGGAGGATGGTGACTTCCAGCTCACCAACGGTCAGAAATGTCGTCACCGCCTCTACCCACCACACTCCCTTCTTGTCTGGATGGGGGAGGGGGCGAGGAGCCCAGCTCAGCATCCTTCCTGTGGAACCCATTATGCAGAGCTGCTCTTTGGGGACAGCCCCTGATACTGCTTCCTGACGAGTTTCAAGAGTTGTGGTTCCCGGACTTGGAGCTCGCGTTGGAAGCCAACAGAGCTCCTCATTTCAGGATGACCACACTTTGGCACCTGAGAAGGACTTGAGTTGAGTAGGGCTGAGGTAAAGTCAGCACTCCAAGGGAATTCTGTCCTCACTGAACAGCAGTTCAGGCTCCTTTCCATGAGGCTCATGGCCATGGTCAAGGGCTCTCTGGCTCAGATGCTACCCAAATTCCCTACCTTTTCAGGTCTGACCTGCAATTCTTCTGAACTCAGCTCTTGCCTTCCTCACCTGCAGCCTGATGAACAAGGGCAAGCATTCCATCTGTCACTCTTTGGATTTTTCTAGAATAGGAAAATGACACACATACACACACACACACACACACACACACACACACACACACACCTTGATTCTCAACGTGGAGCAATTGCCAGTAGGGTTGTGAAGCCTGGGGGCCTGTTGACTTCCAGAGAGTCACTTCAGTCATGACATGTACTTATTAAACACCCTACTAAGTGTCAGGTACCGGGGTGGGCTGCCTGGACAAAAAAGTCAACCTCGAGGAGCTGGGATGGGCCAGTGCAGAAGAGAGAGTCAAGCCTGCCATGTTTTGTGAGTTTGCTCACTGAGGGACACACAAACACCCAAAGACGCCATGGGTACTGCAGTTGGAATAAGGCCAAGGGGTCCCCCTGGCACATCACCTGGTCATCATTTCTCAGCAGCAGTTACCTCAGCCACCACATGTGCCGTGGGTCTACCCCAGACCAGATCAGCCCCGGATACAGGCCACGTGGGATGTCACAGGAAGCAGGAATCCTACACGTGGTAGGAAGTGTCAGAAGTCTTTGTTTCAGGTAGAGACTGCTGGGTGTGGGTTCACCTCCTACCTCCTGCCTTCCCTTCCCTGTTTCCTCAGCCTGGAGTTGCTGGCAGACGTGCAGTACGCCTTTGGGCTGCCCTTCTATCCTGCCTACCGGGGCCAATTCTCCACGGCGGAGCAGAGCCTGTCCCTGAAAGTCATGCAGTACTTCTCCAACTTCATCAGATCGGGGTGCGTATGTGGCCCACTGTTCTCTGAATCCGACCATGTGCCCCCTCCCTCCCCACGGCTGAATGCAAAGGCCACAGTTTTTATCAGCTGACTCACCCTGACCACAAAAACTGCAATTCTACAATACCATACCCCCCCCGTCTTGGCTTCCCTGTTTCTAATCAAACAATCGTTGTGTAGATAAATCATGAAGAAATCTTCCATCTGACTCCTTCCTTGCTCAGACACACTGATGCAACAGGTCAGGGTTCTTTTAGCCTCTGTACTGTGGACACTTGGTACTGGCTAAGTCGTGTGCATCCCATAGGATGATTGACAGTGTCGCTGGCACCAGACACCAACAGTATACGCTGTGCTGGTTACATAGCGGTGGCGAAATACCTGACAGGAAGAAGGGTTTGTTTGAGGTTCTGCTTCCACAGGCTTTGTCCTTGGTTGTTTTCCTAATGGACAGCACATCCTAGCAGCAGAGGTGTGCAGAGCGAACGTCTTACCTCACGGAAGACAGGAAAGAGAGAGAGAAGGGGGTCACGAGGGACAAGGCACGTGATATTCCCTGAGTCCATTGTTTTCTAGGAAGGCTTCACCTCCTACAGATCCCAACGTCTCACGATAGCCTCACAAGCCAAGAACCAGGCATTCAGCTCGTGAGCGTGTGGAGAACATTTCACATTCAAAACACAGTGCTTGACCCTGTTCTAGTTATGAAAATCAAATATGTCTCTGGCGGCCAGGCATGGAAGTATCATCTGTCATTGCAGCCCACAGGCTGAGCCAGGAGGGTTGGGGTTTGCAGACTAGCCCAATCTACATAGAAAGACCCTGTCTCAAAAGAATAAATAAATATAAAAAAAAATCCATAGTCATTGCCCAGTGTCCCCTGGGGAGCAGGCCAGTGGAAGGAGAGCCATGCTGTGCCTCACAGGTGCACAGCCAACTTAGCAAGCCCTGCGGTGTGTCATCCTGGCATTCTGGTGTTCCCATAGCCCCCACCTCCTTGCCAGCAGCCTCTGCTCCAGTCCTGTGGTGCACCACTTCCCAAACATGCTGGTCCACCCCACTCCTGGTAGTTTCTCTGGTAGACTTCCTTTGTCTCTGTGCACTTCCCAGAACTCTCATAGTTCCCCCAGAGGAGAGAGAGAGACACCCTGGCACAGCTACAGGCTACTGCCCACCTTAAACAGTGAAAGCCAAGCGAATAAAGCTTGGCTGTGGAAGCTGAGGGAAAAGGGGCATTTCTTCTTGTTCGAGTCTTAGAAAAATGCTCTCCCGAGTAAGCCACATCCACAGAGGAGTTTCAAGCCATTCGGATGAGCTAAGGGAAGCTGCTCTGGGAAGTGGTCTGAGCCAAGGCAGGTGCTGAGGAAGTGTTACTCTGGCTACTGAGTGGTGTGGGGCTGGTGGGATGGAGAAGCAGATGTAGCCAGTGAAATGAGTCATCATGACGGCATCTGGAATCCAGATAGGAAGACGTCCTTAAGATGCTTCCTCGGAAGGGTGAGCTGACAGCTGACGTGAAGAATGTCCATCGTCCTCAGGGTTGAAGCTGATCTCTGTACCCAGGCTCCTACAGCCTGAAGGAGGGCACCCACTTTCCCCAGGAGGGCTTCCAGGGGAGGGGTGCTTTGGTGGAAAAGTCTAGAATGGCAGTTTCCTCCCCCATGAGAATTGTAGAGTGGGTAATAAGAAAAGAGACCCTAACATGTTTTAGATTCTCAGCTCTACTCTGAGATTCTGAGACCAAATGACGATGTTGTCAAAGCAAACTGCCATGAAACACTACAGCCTAGAGATAAATCTGCTGTCCTGATACCTCTGGGAGGTGATGTCGCCTTCGTGGGGACTAAGTTTATGGGTTGCAAGGTGGTCTCTGACCCCCACCTGCTTATCCATCCTTGGATAAGCAAGGGCCTTCAGGAACTGGGGGTGGCATCCAGATCAAAGGACACCAAAGAGAATGGGTACCCGAGTCTCCTGAGCATTCAAAAAGACAGGGCCACCCTGGGTCCCGAGTGATGCCACTGAGTCATCAACTGACTGAGGCTGGCTAGAGGTGATTTCGGAGAGCTTTTGTGGCCTGGTGCTTTATAGTACAGTTAGCATCCCAGCTGGAAGCCGGACCATTTGGACTTCCTGTCTGGAACTCAAAGTTAAACGATTTGCCCTTGAAGACCAGAGCAAGTGGGATGTGATACCAAGTGTTAAAAAGAAAGATGCCTTTCCACCCAGAGACGTTGCTTTCTTCTCATCTCCCTAGAAATCCCAACTACCCGCACGAGTTCTCGAGGAAGGCATCCGAGTTCACAGCACCCTGGCCTGACTTCGTCCCTGGAGCTGCAGGAGAGAGCTACAAGGAGTTCAGTGCCCAGCTTCCCAATCGCCAGGGCCTGAAACGGGCTGACTGCTCCTTCTGGTCCAAGTACATCCAGGCTCTGAAGGACACAGGTAGTAGTGCCCTGGAGGATGAGAATTTGGGAGTGAGTGGTGTTCGAGTCGGTGCCTACTGAGGAGTTGTGTGTTGGTTTCCACCGCGTGCGTGGAGGCCACCAGGCCACGGGGTACTGGAGGAAAAGCCCTGTTCATGAGGTGCTCGCAGTCCAAGACTCTTTGGCTGCCCAGAGCCTCCTGTTCTGATGGGAGGAGGTGAGTGGAAGCATGGGTGAGGCTCAAGGAGAGGATACTGGGCAGAGGGAGGGAAGGGAATGGGAAGGTTGAGTGGCAAGTGGCAACCAGCTTCTAGCCGGCAGCACTGGTGCGGGAAGAGAAGGAAGGGTCTTTAACCTCTTACTGCTCTCAGAGAAAGAATCGGTGAGCTACAAGTTGGCTTTCCCAATTCCTGCAGCTGGGGCTTAGGGGTAAAAATGGACCGTGGTAAGACATTAGCACTGTAGAAACAATATGATGTCCTTAAGAAACGTCCAGGATAATAAGGAAACGAGTAGCATAACCAAGTGAAAGTCCTTCGTCTTTCCTGTCACGGAGTACCTGTACCCAAGGGTCTGAAGAGGTCCCAGAGGAGGGACGATTTAGGGGAGGGATCCAGAGTGACAGAGCAGGAGATGTAGGACACCAGAGAAGAGACCTTTGTCAGAAGCACTTTAGACTCTCAACCCTGCTTTTGACCAAGTGAGTCCCTTGACTCCCAAAGGACCATTGTGCCCTTAGCATGTCCCTGCGTCCCAGAAATGAATCTGGCATCTGTGGGGAAATTGATACGGAATGAGGCTGGTCCTGGGTCTCTTAACAAAGGATGGATTCTGATCCAACCTGCCCTTCCTTTCTGTTTCAGCAGGAGCCAAGGATGCACAGTTAACCAGCAGCGAAGAGGAAGGCGTGGCAGGGGAGATTGGGCTGGATGAAGGCGTCTCTGGCTCCCTGGAGACTGGCCCTAAGACCTACAGCAAGTGACCAGCCCTGAGACCTCCATCCACCCTGCCAGCGCCATCTCAAACTGCCTGACATGGTGATTCTGCTGTGTACAACCCTTTGCTTTCAATAAAATGTCTGCATACAACAAAACACTGGTGACTCTGAGTTGTGGCTCCAAAACAGCTCTTGGTGACACTACAACAGGTGCCAATGTAAATCTTCCTGAGGTCTGGCTCCCAGGTTACTGGGCAGTCAGCAATATTCATAGAGCATCGCCTCCTGTTTCCCTGGAAAAGCAAGGTTCCGGTCCCTCTGAGAGAGGAAGTCAGGCAAACAGAAGACACAGAAAATGGGGCTCTATCAAAGGCAGGGGCTCCAGAGAGACTGTCTCATCTAAGTGAAGGAAAGTTCCAGAATGCAAATAGGAGAGCTAGGTCTGGGGCAGCAGCACATCCAGAGGCGAGGAGGTCTGAAGCGTGTGTGATGGTGGCGATGGATAGGGCGGGAGGGGAGAACCAGAGACTTCGGTTGCGTGTGAGGTGTGGGTGTCAGGAAACTGGGATGCCCACGCTCCAGGACAAGCAGCCAGTTTCTACTTATCCTCTCTCAAGGGACCACTGGTGAGAGCAACTCTCCATCTCTGTCAGTCTGGGTTTGTGTGCGTACGTGTGTGTGTGTGTGTGTGTGTGTGTGTGTGTGTGTGTACATGTGTGTGCGCATGTGTGTGTGTGCGTGTGCATGTGTGTGTGTCCCTCCCTTCTTCCCTCTTTCTCTCCCCCTCTCTCTCCCACTCTTTCTCTTTCTCTCTCCCCTGACTCCCTCCCTCCATCTCTCTCTGTATGTGTCTCTCTTCCTCTCTCTGTCTCTCTCTGTCTCTCTGTCTCTGTCTCTCTCTCTCACACACACACACACACACACACACACACACGCACACGCGCACACACACGCACACACGCGCGCGCGCACACCAAGGCTGAGCTGGAGCAGGTGGAATTCGTTAGCACTCTCTGTCATTTGAATGGCACATCATGCCATGTGTTCACACCCTGTCATCTCACTTGAGTCCAGAGCAAACTCAGTGATACTTTGCAGGTTGGACCGGGTTCAGCAAGGCTAGCTGAGTGTTGGGATTCAGAAAACAGTAGGGCTGGGAGGGGAAGCTCAGAACAAATAATCCCTTAATCATGGCTGCTAAGCCACACATAACATGTATGTGCTGAAGCTTTCTACAGCATGGGGTGCTCGGGTGAGACTGTATCTCTGGGACCTGTGCCCTTGGTGGAGCCCTGTTTTCTATGCTTCTGTTGTAATTTTAAAAGCAGCACACAAGAGAAAGACGCAGTGTGATGGAACTTGGGTGGAGGGTTTTTTACTGAGGGAAAGTGAATGGGAAAGAGGGGAGGGGAGAGGGGAGACCATCTTCTGGGGACAGGAGGGGCAGAAGAGAGAGGCAGAGAGAGAGGAGGGAAGAGAGAAGGAGAAGAGACAGACAGGCAGAGGAGAGACAGAGAGAGAGGGAGAGAAACAGAGAGAGAGGAGAGAGAGAGACAGAGGGAGAGGAGAGGGAGGGAGGGAGGGAGGGAAAAGGAAGGAAGGGAGGGACAAAGAGAGGGAAGGAGAGAAGGAGGGCCCTTTTAAAAGGTAACAGTGAATGTGCACAGGTGGTGCTCTAAGTGGCTGCAGCTGAGGGTGTGTCCTGTCAGAACCCCAAGGGCAGGCCAGTGCAGATGCCTGAGTACTAACGGCCTCTGTCTTGTGTTTTCCTGGCTTTCTCTCCCAGAGGGTCAAAACTCTTGCTTTCTCTGCATTCAGCACAGGGCCCAGTGCAGGGTGATACTCTTTATAACACAGAATATGAGAGTTCCACCTCCAGATGGATCAATCACATTTACTGAGTGTAAAGCGGAAGCACTTTTAATTTTCCTATAACTGCCCTTTTGCAGTAGTCTCTATGATGTCCCCTCTGAAACTGTGACAGCCTAATCCCTGGGACTCTGGGTAGCATGTAGAGTCCCAGGTAATCAGCTGGCCTTAAATTGCCCAGAATCACCTATGTGGATCCAGTGTCACTCAAAGGAGACTGAGGAGGCAGAACGGCGGATCAGAGAGAGGGCGGCATGAAAAGATCTCACCTCAGCATCGCTGGCTTTTAAGACGGAGCGAGTGGGATGTGTATAAGGGGATGCGTGTAGCTTCTAGAGACTGGAAAAAGCAAAGGGATGGTGCTCCCCCAGGGCCTCCGGGATGGAATGCACCCTCCTGACTTGGTTCCAGCCCACTGGAGATTCATGTTTGGCTTCCTATCTACAGACTAATACTACAGACCCGAAGGTTGGCAGTAATTGTTAGGGCAGCCATCAAAAGCTAATGCATCATTATGCCTGTTCAGACACATGTCTTCCAGTGCCCTTGACAAAGCCACAGGCATGGCCGCCTTATTGTTTCCCTGTTAATAAAAAGTCCACTCCAGTTCAGTATTGAAACTCCAGACCCCACGGCACCGCCACTAAAAACCCATGACTCCTGCTGAGCCACCTGGTTAAACGGAGGGTGGGACACACTGACTGTCCCTCTGAGCCCTGCATGTGTGTGGTTGGGCTCTTCAGGGTGACATCTGCTATTTTACTACCATTCTTTCCAGCCTGAGGTGGAAAGCATTCTGTGACAGGGGTAATGTCTGCTTGGTAGATTGAGCTGGGGGTTATGAGAGACCATGCGTGTGACCAGAGATGTATGAAACACTCAGTGTTCACCAGTCCTTGAGGCTTAACGGTGGATCTTGAGTAGCTCCTATGTGTAGACTGAAGTTTCTGTTCCACCCAGCCCCACAGCTAAACACACAGAGGCTTGTGTTAATTATAAGTTGTTTGGCTTATGGCTCAGGCTTCTTGTTGGCTAGCTCTCCTAATTATTAGCCCATGTCTATTAATCTACTATCTCCACATGGTCGTAGTTTACCAGTGATTCACGTGTCTCTACCTGGGGTCTCCCCTCTGACTCACTCTCCACATTCCTCTTCCCAGAATTCCCCTAGTGTGCTAGCCTCACCTATACTTCCTGCCTAGCTACATCGTTCCTGTCCATTGACTGACACAGATTTACTCATCAGCCAATAAGAGAAACATACATTCACAGCATAACAGAAGGACATCCCCCATCACCCGTGTGACAGATCAGTCCATGAGAAACATAAAGAAGAGAGACTTCACAGGCAAAGCCATCACAGTGCTGCCCCCACGGCAGTGCTGGGGAAATCTGTACAGCCCACATACAATGGTCAGAATGTTTGGCTACAGGGCACCCCGGTCCCTGTAAAGACAAGAGCAGAGCAGCCCACTGCCGTGGGAGCTGTCCCAGAGCTCTGAGCTCCAGACTCCGCAGCACGGAGTGTCTCGGGACTGGTGTCATAGTGATCATTATAGCCCACCCCTATGAGCAGAGGCCATACGTCTCAGTGAGGCAGGCAAATACAGGAAATAGCTTATCAACTTGGAACTCTACTTGGCTTGAGCTATGGGCACACCCGTCTCTGAACGTGCCCAGCAACACAGGTCCCACATGTGCATAGAGCTGCCTTGGTACCTACTTTAAACCTCAGGGAAAAATACCACTCCCCTTCACCCCACAACCCCTCTGTAGCTCCCAATTTCTAGTCAAACACGCACTGGAACACAGTCCAAGATCTGACTTGGTATGCATAGGCAGCAAGACAAAACTGTGTTCCCAAAGGTTTAGGGACAACCCCTCCCCCATCTACCACTTTACCCACGTATAAATGGATATGTGCATCATCAAACTTGGATGGATTATGAGAAGGGACACATTCAGTAGAGGAAGGATCACATGACCTAATCTGTCAAGAACTACCCCAACTGTGCCTGGTAGCAACCGAACCCCTCCTCTGGAACACAGAAAAAGGCATTTGAGGCCTGTTGGCACCCCTGATGGCGTGCTTTCTGACCCGTACCATAGTTTCTTGGTACTTTTCAATCTGTGTGGTCAATTGTTCTATTTTTTAATAAAAGGCTCTGAACCTGGAAACACCCAAGCCAGACCCTGACCACCTCTGGTAACAGCAACTGAACCTTGATGGCCTCTTGAGTCCTGCTCTTCACCCCCAAAAGGTCAGGGAGGTCACAGAACACCCAGGTTAGGTTCACGCAAAGGTCAAGTGGATGGGGAATCGTCTGTGACAAAACAGTGACTTTTGGGCTTGGGCAGGCATGATTCAGAAGTGTTGAAATGTACTCGAAACCAGGTAAGCCCATTTCCTCATAGAGAGAAGCACCGTGAAGCAAGTGTCTTTTCTCAAGGGAGTCAAGAGACATCCCTATAGGTGCCCCTGTCCCTTCCCAAAAGAGGCAGTAGACACCCAGGATCTAGAGGCTCCCTATACCTTCACCAACCTGGGAAAGACAGCTCCCCTCAGACTATCCTAGTCCCTAGGTGATTAGTGCAGGACCAGGCTAAGAGGGCAGAACCCAAACAGCTTATTAAAAATGACAAATCCTAAAGGGGCAAAGTAGTGAAATTTGTAATTACAGCTCCTTAGGAGGCTGAGGCAGGAGGATTGCTAGTTTATGTGTGGTTCACGTATCCACAGTTCTGAGTGAATAACACCTCCAGGTAGGATACGCCTCTACAGAGCTCTCACTCGGCTAGAAGTCCACCTTCTCGAGATCGCGCCCAGCAGCTCCCACTCATGGCTCTCCCCTGTATGAGAGCCGTGCCACCTGCTGCATAGATCTCGCTGGTTCCCTTCTAGGAAAAGTGGGGGTCCAGCCTACATATGCCACCCACCTCTTGCTCCCCCACAAACGGGGTAGCATCAGAATTTCCAGTTCTTCTCTGGGTCACTTCTGCATCTCTACAGCACCTTCTCCCAGCTCGTGGCTTTGCTAACGGTTTCCTGGCTTGCCGTGGAAATGAGTTGCTCAGCTCCTTCAACCACAACCCCTCCTCTTCCTTTCCCTCTCTAGCCTTGTCCCTAGCTACCCTCCCATTTTGGCTAGCCACACTCTGGATTGCCTTGTCCTGGAAACTCAGCTGAGCCTTCAGGGATCTGTCCACAAGGTCCCACACCTGAAATCCAGGGAGCCACTCTTGGCCCCAGCAAGACTTTGTATTGCCCATAGGCCAAGCAGCATGTT